GAAGAAAAATCTCTGCCCTATAATTAAATCCTTGATCAAGTTTTGCATGTTTGATGGTCACCGCGAATTTTCCCGCCAGAAAGCAATAACACATAGAATTGCTTACCTGTTATGTTTATAATGTCATCACCAGCAGGGCATTAGTAAAACCATAAACAACAGCTCGCTAGAAAGAAGGAAATATTTTTGAACAGGTAAACAAATCTCATTTTCTCTAGTTTCATAGTTAGGTTCCAAAAATTTCTATTTTATTTCTACGTCGTGTATTTGAGGCAGAGTAAACGCAGACATTGTCCACCAAAAAAATAATCTCGTCTCTCATGTCCTTCCCTTCATAATTTAACATTTGACTCTCTTAAAGAAGATGAATAGGTCAAAATAGGTTACGAATTTTTAAAAAAAATAGACATGTTAAGCCTTTTTCAATTTAAAATTTGTAGAGAATGTATTAATATTGTCATTTATTTATTCCTTTTTAGCAATTCCGTTTTCAAAAATATCAGTCACACTACGAAAACATTTCAAAGCCCAAAGTTTCAAAGTAGTGCTTTCACAATTTTATACAGTTCTAGGTCGAACTGATGTTTGGAACTGTTTTTAACAGCCAGGGTTTCTTTGAAGTACTTGCGTGTAATAAGGTTTTCACTAAGACAGAACAGCTTGATACCTGTTGTGCTAGGTTTAAGCTCTTTGCGAATGCTTTGATCGTAAGCGAGGCTTAGTAATGCACCTAGTTTTATCACCTTGGCAAATATTACATTCGCTGTCGTTCAAAGTCCTTGGATTCTGCGACGTTTTGAAATGTCTGGTTTGTATAGACGCCAGTAGCGTGTTCTTGAGCACCCTCGCGGAGCCTCCAAGCGCGAAGCGCGCGCAGTGGAGCCTCCTTTGCTATAAAAATTGGTCGAAGCCTATCGGTGAGAGAAAATCTTGTTATGACGTAAGTAGACACGAATTCCTCCCCTCCTTCTATAGAGTATTTTTTGTCCCCTATTGTTTCAAAACGCTTAAGACACGATTGAACAATCAGAATCTATCTAATGAGCACACGTTTGGTGCTTTTCAGGGGTAGGGGAAGAAAAGAATTTGACACCTTAGTAAAGGACATCCATTTTCAACAAAAAGGCTGGCACGCGTTCACCATGCGGTGCGACGGTTTTCAAGACCAAAGTTTTGCATTTCAAGATTGAAAAAAAACGGTAAAAGACACAAATGGAAATAAAAAGTTCAAAAGAATGCTCAGTTTCCTTTTTGAGGACAAACGAAAACTTTTCATTACGAAATTTTCATTCGGGGAATTCAACCTTGTTTTTTTCACGGAAGAACGCTTGGCCTGTTTTGAACTAACCAAGGCAGCGAAGTTTTTGAAAAAATGTGCCGTGATTTGAAATTTATTTTATGTTGAATTTTGCCATGTGCTCAGCCGATTTAACTTGCATGAACGGATCCACGATCCAGTTAGTGTTAGAAATAATTCATCTGTCATTTTTCATTCACAACATTAACTCAAAACACGATCGTGAGACTACTGATCGTGAGCTTTTTAGAGACAGTTCAGACGATCTACTCGCCTTTCTTGAATTAAAACTGAAGTGTTGTTTGAAATGAATTGTGATTCATTTTCTTATTCATTGCTTCCCATTCACGAATTTTGCAGTGTGCTACTCTTTTCTCATAACTATTGCCCTGAATACGGCTTAAATGAAGTTTAGGCGTTTGTTTACACTTGCTATTCTCGCTTAAAAAAGTATCTGAAATATTACAGAGTTCTCCTTTCTTCTAATGACAAACTCGCCGGCTTTTCGAACCCGAGATTATCTTTTTGAAAATAAGTTTTAAGTTATTGTAACGTGTACCTATTAAGTCTATCGTATGTTTTCTCAGTGAGCACTTGAACAAGGACCACTCGGACCGCCCGGTTTGTGTTGGTTAAAGAATTATACTTATTAGCAAAGAAAAAGGTTATTATTTGCTTTCAAAGAAAATGAACACCTTACGGTAAAACTTTCTATCAGATATTGTGAGGTACAAGTGTAAAGGCTACACATACTGTTCTACAGGGGCCGATAAAGACAAAAAACATAATGGGCCTACGGGAACACAAAAGTCGGCCTAATTTTTCTTTTATGTCTTCCCTTAAAGACAGAAATACTGACCCTAGAAATTGTAACGTGTAAATAGCTGCTCCTGAAGAGACCGATAACTTCGCAGAGGGGTGTGGTGGTGAGCGGGGTAGTGGGGGGTTGTTTGGGGGCTCGATGATTTATATGTGGTTTGAAAGGATTCTTGTAGTGTGTTGGAACTTGATGAATAGTGTTTTTTTTCTGTAAATGTGCAACTTTTAGCTTGCTGGGAGGGTTTTTTCATTTCAGGTGCATTGGCGGGATACTTTTTCTTAATCATTTTACCGCTCCCTCTAAAGGTTAACTGATGCCGAGGGCTCCTAAAATTAAGAAGGAGTTTGAAGATTTCTTTTTATTGGCTTAGAGTTCAAGTTATTAGTTTCAAATTGTATATAAAAGGAGGCTTCGCTTTTAGCCCTGGCTAAATCTAAATATTACCAAGACTACTAACATGTGAATCATACGCTAGCGATAGCAAGATGTATAGTCTGCAAAAAAAGCAAACTGATAAATAAATAATAGAATCGAAATAAATTCCGGTAAAATCTTATGCTACCTCCATAAATATACGCACCAGAGCCTCGATTCGATTTCATTGCAAGTATAGTTGGTAAGCAATGTAACAATGTTTCTATTACAAAATTTTCTCCATAAGTCAGAGTAACAAGGTGGAGATTTTGCTGTATTTAAAGCTGAGCAGATCATTTTATAGATAACAAACGGCAATCGCCTTTCATTGAGGGTAAAAAGCTCTGTCTTTTCATGAAGTAATTCTAAATAAATTGTCATATATCACAGGCTGAAAAGAGTGCTCCTCAAAAGTTAAGCTCAGTCAATCTCGAGTGGATGTTAATGAGTGGAAGTGCTATTCCGAACCTGTTTGCTGTCATAGCATGGATTACGTTTTTCTTTGTAACCACAGTTGACCTCGGTAAGCTTATTGTATTATAAAAGTATCGCAGCAGTTTATAAGTCGTAAGGATAACACAAAAAGATGGTTTCTCTGAGATAGACCTTGCCTGTTTGAGAAGGTAACTATTATTTTTATATAATCTTCGCCTAGTTTATTGGTTATGAGTAAGTAGATCTTTTCAAAACACACGGAAAATAATCAGTAAAGCCAAAAAATATCCATAAAATGCTTAACAACTTTTTTAACTGATAGGCTAAGTTGTGTTGGAATGGAAAACGTTTTACCAGTAAGTGAAAACAGGCAGATAATTGCTTAGGTGCAATAAGCAAAGAAAAAATGCGGCCTGCAACAATAATTGACCCGACGACATAGAACCGCAACCCTCGATGATTTCAAAATCAGGCCACCGTCAATTAATTCCCTGTGCTTCAATTCTTTTCATGAATCGTTGTTAACAGGCTGATTGCCTCTTAGGGCCTATTTACATGGAGGTGGGGAACCCCAGGTAGGTGAGGTAACCCGCCTGTCCATATATTCTCTCGTTTTATTTTGATCACATTTACTTTGTAGGTGGGGTGACCCTCCACCTGTCACCTCACCTATCTGCGGTGCCCCATCTCCATGTAAACAGGCCTTTATTTGCTGAATCTGATATCTATCCAAAAGAAAATAGCTACTGATTTAATTTCTTCCGAGCCGCTAAACTGAACAATAAGTGGTTCAAATAAAATAAGGTCAAAGATCACTGGCAAAAGTGTCTTCAAAGTTAAGCAAATACAAATGAACTAAGCTTAGGGCAGCAGGTTGATCAGCAGGTTTCAGCATAGTATATGCGGGGATAAACTATATTTTTTATAAATAAAACACAAGTTATCGAAATTAATAGCTCTAATAGCACATTGCTTTAAAACAACTTCTTACAAAAATTCTTCTTTAACAAGTGAACACCTCTTCGTCATTTAAAATTTAAGAGTATTCAAAAGGTAAGGGAAAGTTCAACAGTATTTATTGTATAAACACCGATGAAATACCAGGTGAGGTTTCGCCCGAAAACATGATATTGTTGATAGGAGACAATTCTGTCGTTGTATCATAGGGGTCAGCGGTGTTCCGCGTGGGCCGTATTGTATGTGTAAACCGAAGATGGCTGCATGTGCTTTGAGAATAAAGAGTTGTGTTCTCGAAAGCTGTTGTTCCTTTGATGGAAGCTTTCCCAGCCGGTCAACAATATCTTCACACGTGAAAATAACACGTTGTCTTCACATGTGAAAAGATCACCGTTGCTATGGCTGCATGATAAATTGCACCTTTCACAGTAAAAAGCTATTAAAGTGAAATGTGGTTTGGTATTCCATTGGTGTTTATATAATAAAAAGAACATTACATGGTCGCTTGGAGATTCGACATTTCTCTCCTCGTGTTGAAAAATATTTCACTCGTTCGCTACGCTCACTCGAAGAGAAATTTCGTACCTCCGCGCGGCCATGTAATATTCTCTATGTTTTCTTTGAAGCCAAGGAAATTCCGATTGATATATGAGCTACAACTTTCTGCAAAACACGATTTTTTCATTTACTCTAGGCCTTTAATCACAACGATATACTTTTTTTTCCGAATGCATTGTTTTTCAGTTAAATGTCTTATATCACAACTGAATAATTTATTACTGACGGGAGATACAAGATCTGGGGTTTTTTTGGAGAGAAATAAAAAAATTTCATTTGTTCTGTTTTTTGGGGGGGGGATACACTGTCATTTCTTCGCAGGGACGATGAAATATAGAACATAGACTTTGTTTTGTCAATTTCACTCAAAGTTTTAAATTACCTTCATTAAGTCCTTTTACACCAATGAAATGTGAAAGAATGTGAATTTGTATTTGCAGGAGCTTCTAAATTTGGTATTATGTCGGTCATTCACCCTACCCTTTTTATTGATCTCATCTTCATTTACCTTGGACAGCTTCTTTAAGAAAGTTGGAACATGTTAAACATCAGGAGGCTATTTTAGGTGGGCTGAACCGTCGTCAAAGAAACTTAGGCAACAGCGACATCACCAAACTTCTGGACGAATTAGACAATGAGACAGAAGCCATTAAGAGTGGTCAGGAGATTGGCGAGGAGCTTTTAAGTGCCAAAATCCAAACAAAAAAGGGCGACGAAAAATTGTACCAAGCAAATGACAGCTTTTCACAAGGTTGGCTTAAAATTTTAAATGCTGTTAATTCAAAAGAAACAGGGACTACGGGAGACGCGAAGACGAATCATCTTAGTGACAAATAATTGTTTTAAAATCAGGTGTAAGTCGAGGTTGTAATCAGAAGCTCGTAGCCAGCGAAATGTCCTGATTAGGATTTTGCAAGTTGTGGATGTCAGATTTAGACTCAGTCACTTACAATCTAGTGTAATCAGATTATCAGTGTCGCAAGAAGAAGTAGAAAGACAAAACCAACCACGACAACACGTGGGAAGGTACATTGCTTTAACTCATTCTACCGCTTCTGCTTCTGACTCCAACAATCATAGAGGATCGAGTTCGTTCGGATTCTTGGGACTCCCGGCTCAACTCCGATCCCGACGTTAATAGAAACCAGTCTTTAGAGTTGCGAAAGTTATGATGGAGTTTCTAACGTTTATTTGGCACAAACGATTCAAGATAAATAATAGATAGACCTTATGCATTTACGTAAAAGGAAAGCAACGATTCATATCATTAATGTTTGGTGTGTTTTTGAAACCGAGTAGTGTTGTAAAGAGGAATTTTTTAAATATGTTTTCTAATCATTTGACTTTACATGTACTTCCTATCATACATAAAATATGCGGGCAACTCACGACTATCTTGGTAACTTTATACCAGACATGTTACCAGCCAAGCGTTATGATTCAGACAACTTTTCAAGGGAAATATTATGCACTATAATAGTTGTGTATCTTTTAATCAATTTTGAAAGATTTAGTAAATATTACTGAAATGTTTATTGGTGTCGAATAAGACAAAAGAAACATACTCACCGTGTTCCCTTTATCTTTAGGATATTTTCAAAACGATAGCAACAAACCCAATGAAGAAGAAGTAACAGGTATTCAATCTGCAATCATGTTAACGTGCATGAACTCTATAGAACACTTCATAAGAGCTGTTGTCGTTGCTGTAGCTTCAAGTCAAATATCTTCTTTAGCTTAGTTGGAAAATTGTCAGAATAGACCTTTCCACGGGTTTTTCAAATTTCAGTTTGACATGGACAAGTTAGGGAAAACCCGTCAACTCCGGTGGAAAGAGAGCCTTTAAATTAGCAAGAATATTACCAAGGTTGAAAGTGATATTGAAAACCAACGAAGATACAGCTCCTCAAAGTCGCGAATTTTTACAGACGTTTGTATGGTGGGGGGCAGAAACGTGGATTTTCCCTAATTGGTCAGTGTCAAAAGTTGAAAAAAAAAACAAGGAACGGTCTATTCTTCAGCCGCTAAACTAAGTAGAAAGAATAATTCTTGCGCTCAGCTTAAGTTTTCCGTTACATTATTTGAATATCGTGTTCTTCGTAATCCTTCTTGGTATCCCAGCGGCAACTAAGAAATCAATGGACTGACTAGGTCATGTACCCCTTGCGTTGCACAGACAAGTACAATACGTTGCCCAGTATCCGGCCGGTACCAGTATCTGGCCACTTAAAACAAAAATTCAGTTTGCGCGGCCTTTTTAGCCCTCGGTAAACAAAGTATTTTGAATGAAAGCTCATAGGCGTACTGGCAATTTTTCTGCAAGGGGTGGGGGGGGGGCGGCTGCGGTAAACAATTTGCCCAAAAAGTGCTCGCATGTTGCCCAAATTTTTACGAAACAGTCGAAAAGAAACGAAGGTCCGATATTACGATGTATCAACATAGGCCTACATGTGTAGTGAAAATATTCTTACATATAAATCTGTCCTATGAGCTCATAAAACACGTTAACAGCAGTCTTTGCCGTTTGACAGCCGAAGATATGAATGATACGATCCATGTCATTGTTGACTACAGAGTTCCCATATACCTTTCATTGTTAATTAGTGCGAGATTACTGACACGTCGTTGCCCCATGGTGGCGGTGGAGGTAGGTTTTTTATCTGCGCAACGCACTGAATGATCATTCTGCAGAACGCAATGCAATGTAGCAGGTATCATTCCAAAGATATGTACCACATTAGAAAACGCTGGAAACATATCAAATAGATCATTCTCGTGCATTGTGTTTCACTGTGACAGATGTTTCCCAAAGCACAGAGTATTCATTGATCATTTCCGCTAAACCTGAGCTCAAACTCGGACAACACTTTATCGATGGACGCATAGTAAATGTTAATACGGTGGTTAGCCTGCGCCACAGACGACACTCAATTCTGGTTAAGTCGGTCTGTGAAACACCCTTGGGCCTCCACTTGTGTACCAGGATTTGAGTACGCGCCATGATTGGCCTTTTGAAAAAGCCATTGTCGATTTGCCAATCAAGACGAAAGGAAATTTGAAACCCACTTCCGGTAATTCGTTGAGTCCGTTGGGGGGCCAAAAGAAGGATATCGGCGCTGCTTCGCGGTGTTAGCTGCGTTTGTCTTTGCGCGTGTTCACCTACAAGGGCTTGAAGGCAGTGCGATGGCGATTGTCTGAGTGCCCTAGCTTCTCGTAATTCAAACTGAGAATTGGTCAGTCACCTCTTCATTTCAAGACCCATTGCTGATGCTATCTGCCATACGCTGTTCAAACTTTCTTCACCCTACTGTCTCGTGTGAATTTAACTGGATTTACCACGTCGACTTCAGGTTAAAATAGAAAATATCCATCTCTTCGAAATAATAAAAAAGAAACATGGAGACTTCTTTGAAAACTGGTTTGCCCAAATTTCTTTTGCCGCCCAAAAAATCTGAGTTGCCCAAAATTTGAGAGGGGGAGGGCTCCCCTCGCAACCCCCCCAGCTCATACGCCTATGTGAAAGCTGAACATTTCACCTTTAAAATGAACGTTTTGGCGGGTTTACAGCTTGCGAGAAAGTTGCAGAGGGCGCCGTTCTGTTCAGGTGAGTAAACTTTTCATAAAACTAGTGATATTAAAAAAAGGGTTGATAATATGGGATATCTTTAAAGAAACTGTTGTATATTTAAAGTGAAGATACTTAAAGAAGTCAGGATGTCAGAAAATTATTAATTCTTCTTGAAATTTAATTTGTTTGGAATAACGAAGGCAAGAAACATTCACTAAGTATTGACGTCAGGTGCCCAGTATCTGGACAGTTTGTCTTTACTGTGTAGAATCGATGAATTAACTGCGTACATTATCCGGATAAGATTTCTTTCATATCTATAACTATAATCAAAGCTTAGGGTTTATAATATAATCTGTATAATGTAATTCTACTCAACTCCTTATGGAAATTTTCGTCACTCATTCAGAGGCGACTTGATTTCGTGTTCACGGCTTGTTTCGCGTGACTGCATTTTTTTATATATAACCGGGAACGTCGGAGCTGAACCGGGATTCTCATACAAATCCCCAGTTGTGACTGCTAAATGGGGTTGCGACAGTCTGAAAAATTTCTCAAAAGGACCGAGAGACTTGAAAGAAGGAGGAATTAGTGCTAGAAAAACGGCCCAAATGTGGGGACTGAACATGAAGAAATCAACACTGCAGGTCAGACTAAATGCGAAAGTGAGTGGTTTTTCCCGACCACATCCCAGGCATATACTAGTCATTTGTCATGTTTTGTCTCACGATATCTTTGGAATCCATTGCCAGACTTTTTTGCAAGCGCAAGAAAAGTCGATAAAGATAAGTCGCTTGCCTGCCGAAATTTATGTATAATTACGGTGTATTGTTGTGGCCGGATACTGGACAACAACGGAGCTCTGCAAAAATATTAATTTCGCGATGGGAACGAACGCAAAAATATTAAACTGTCTTTCATCACATTAAGCACTAAATAGATTGTCTCTGGGCCAAATTTCAGAACTCTCGGGACTAAGAAAGGAAAGTTATTGCAATGTTAAACTGAAGTGGCCGGTTACCGGGCAACATACTGTGATTATTAACGCTGATGTACTTCAAGTTCTCTACAAGAAGGTTGTTTGGCTGAAAGACTTCTTGAAAAAACCTGAAAATCATATCTATTTTAACCTCTCGTTGGGAAGAAAACAATACATAATAACATACATCTCACTACATTTTATCCTTATCAATATATCAAAGTTACATATACATAAAAACGATCATAAATTCTGAGAAGAACTACTCGTTTGGGGAGTTTTCGTTCATTTATTTATCATTTTGTTTTTGTTTATCTGTTTCCTGACGTAACCACTCGAACTGTTCGGTAATCGAACTTTATCGAACTTTATCGAGCTTAATCGAACACACTCGAGCCAAAAAATGTCCATGAGAGTTCGATTAAGTTCGTTTTCCGAACTCAATCGAGCCAATCGAACTTATTATAACCGAACGTTCTAAACCAACACTCAAAATAGACAAGGATTTTGAAAAGTCAGAGAATCAGGAAAGCAGCAAACAAATCACCGGGAAATCAGCAAAAAGCCAAAAAAGAATTAATTGAAACGAACAATAGATTGACTTTACGAAAGTGGAGGAGATCTGAACGTGCCGGTGCGATTGACTGTGACGTTACCTACAAGGGACGCTGTAATATTAAAAAACTCTATAACGAAGCATAATATTAACTCTGTGATTGAGGAGGTTGATTAAAGGGACACAAAAATAAAGTTAGGTTGATTAAAGGGACACAAAAATAAAGTTGTATTACTTCAATATGGTCTTGTTCTTCCCGGGCTACCTCCTACCCAGGCGCGTTCTAGCCGATTCGAGAGAGACTGGGATTATTAGGTATCATGCGTCGACGCTAAACGTTCCCATGGTCCATTCCGCGATACTCCTTGATGGCTCGTGCAGTTGCGTTTTCCGTTTTCCACACTTAAGACGCCTAGGAACGAGGCAGCTTCCCGGGTGTTCTTGTATATATTTTCACTACAAAAAATACACTACAGTGATCCGCCCCAACCACTCCCGGAATTTACTCAGTCGTAGTAAACCCCAGTAAAAGGAAACATTTAGCAAAACAAGCAATTTCCTTGTTTAACGCCCCATTTTTAATACAATGAATGCAAACTTCGACCATCGCACCTAATCGACAAGTTCGACTGGGTTCGATTACTAAATTTTTTTGGTGAGAGTTCGATTGTGTTCGATTATCTAACTTAATCGAACCAAATCGTTCGATTAAGTTTGATTGAGTTCGATTAAGTTCGATTTAAAAAAAGGTTCGAGTGGTTATGTCGGGCTATTTTCACTTCTTTATATCTAAGATAGCGCCTCACAAACAGTGAAAATTACCGATGCCCCAGTGTTGGATGATTCAAATGGGATTCCAGAAAAAACAACAGCTGTCGAGAGCGGTGCTTCTTATCTGACTGGAAAACCTCTGTTGGTGTTAAACAAGGATAAAAAAGATGATGTGCACAAGTGGTTCCTGTACTATCCACTATCCACCGAATCAGACAAGCAAACGCCGTGAACGATCAGGGTTCAAAGTCACTCAGCTGTACAGATCATAGATGTACAATACCAAGCGATTCAGATAATAGAACTGAAATTGTTGGCTCTAGATCTGGCCATAGCTGATATAACGGCTTCTACATGCATCGTTAAACGTGATTGAATGATTGAATGCGAGGGACATCAGTGCGTAATCAAGAGAGTAAAATACAAACATTTCTTAACTATCTACTAAGTTCATGGGGAAATGCCTATAAAAGAGAGATTTTAAAGCTCTTTTTTAATTATTAAAACCGGAGCTGCAGGTTCTCAAAATGTCATGGTTTTATCACTATGTTTTTCGGAGGCACATTTACTTTATCGACTCATTGGTAACTAAACTTACAGAAATTTCAAGTGTTTATACAGTCAACTCCCTTTGTAGCGGACAATGTAGTGTCCTCTTTAGCGAGAGTCCGTAATAGGAGGAGTTTATTTCAGTCAAACGTCTGTAATTCCTTTTTGCCGGGGATTTAGCTACTGCCCGTTTAATCGGGGTTTCCGTTATAGCGGGGTGTCTACAAGGCGAGAGTTGGCTGTATATACTTTTCCACATGAACATGAACATCTTAGTTGTACCCGGTTTTAGCTGGTTTTCGCGCTTCGCTCGGCAAGTCTGACATTTGATAGCCAAGCAAACACCACCCACAGTTCCTTCTTTCGAGTGTCTTTCTTTCGAGTGATTATGGATTTGACATATTCACCTTAACAAATCGGTTGAAAACTCAAATCGTGTTGTTTGATTCGTTTAGAGACAGTGCCATTATATTTTTTTCTGAAGAGAAAGCCTTCAAACACTTATCGAGTTCAGTTTCCCGACTATAGATTAAACTCATCACACATAGATGAGCTTGGGAACTGGTGCCTTAAAGGTTAGCGGGGTGCCAGATACCATAGCCGCAGGGGGGTATACATGGCAACCCTGGAATGCGGGAACCACCCAAACGAGCGCCTGCTAACCGGCACCGTCACACTGAAAATCAGTGGAAATAACTTACCTGAGAAGATACTTACCCTGGCAACCAAATGCAGAAGAGGGAGGGAGGAGAGGGTTCAAGAATCCGCAATGATTCGCAATAGCTAAGCTGTTGATCCGCAAACATCAGCTGATAACACTGCACATGTAAAGCAATGAACCTTGAAAACCTGCAAAACCCCTGAAGGTCACCCCAAAGGTCACGTGCTACAGATGAGGAGAACCGCTGGCTGCATTTGCTGAAATTTAACTTTGCCTAAATGATATTTAGTCACATTTAAACTCATCACAAATACATGAGCTTAGAAACTGGTGCCTTGCATGTTAGCGGGGTGCCAGATGTCACAGCCGCAGGGAGATATCCATGGCAATCCTGGAATGCGGGAACTACCCAATCAAAACCCTTCTCCTGGTGTCCTTAGCTGATAAGCATTGCTGGACCAGCGGCCCATAGCTTGTATAAAATGGTCAGGAACTCTATTGCGAGCTGCAGCAGTAGCAGCCCTGTACGAAAACTATGGCTGAAGAAGTTTCCCGGCACCTAAGCTGAGGCCATAATCTGCCAAAGCCAGTCCGTCTAAATATTACGCGAGAGAGGATGGCTCTTTGCAACAAAAACTGGCTGCCCGGGGCATCTCACATGAGCGCAAGGTAAGTCATTTAAGCATAAACTACACAATGTGAATGGAACAGCCCTTCCTAAATGGATCAGTCTTAGAGCCCTTGATCCTGACAAGCATGCAAGATGGAGCTGAAGTGAATTCACTGCAATATCCTGGACACCCAAGTGAAGTGAAGATGAGAAGCTAGACCAATTAGGTACGGTGAACTCCGAAGCGTGCAGAAAGCCAAAATAGCCCAAGGAACAAGCTGGCCAAAACATGCAATGATCCGGAAGGTGAAGATCCAAAGACCGCCAAATAATCAGCATCAAATCATCGGTAATGGGAAGTCGGCTGGAAGAAGAAAAACCTACTTCTCCAGCTGACGACAAAAGGAAATAAACTTTGTTTGGGCAGAAGCATACGAACGACAGGTAGACAGGGCCAGGCCTTGGGTCAAGAAGGAATGGCATTGCTGGTCTAAGGCGAAGAGGTCAAGGCCGCCAGAAGATCGGGGAGATCCAAGTAGGATGAGGCTGCGAATCCGGACCCAACTGTTCGAAGTCCTGCCAACGAAAACGAGACAGAGCAACAGCTATTTGATTGTTAACACTGGACACATGTTGAGCAGAAAAGGAGAAACTATGACGGGCGGCAGAAAGAAGCAGGCTGCGCAATAACTGCATCAAACTAGGTACTTTAGAAGTCCTGGTATTCAGAATATCGACTACCGCCTCATTGTCGGAGCGGAACAGAACATGCCTCTTGCACCACATATGGTCCCAGACATGAGCGGCGATGACAGTTGGGAAGAGCTTCCTATAAGCAATAGACTGCTGCTGCTGCTGAGAAGGAGCCCAGGAACCCGCAAACCAATAGCCCTTCAGGTAGGCTCCACAACCAATCGAACCAGCTGCATCAGACGACACTTCAAGATCCGCCTCTGGGAACAGATCTGGGAAAAGCCAAAAACTAACGCCATGCCAGTCAGAGAGAAAGTGATACCACCATCGGAGGTCCAGAGAAATTCTCTGTTAAGACGGACTGGGTGATCTCTCTATCGGAAACAGCATAAAAGGTCGATCATGCGGGGTAAGAAAGTTCTCCCAGGCCAAACCACTTTTGCAGCACGGTGCAGATGTCGGATAAGAGATTCTAGATCTTGCCTATTGCACCACTTTCGAGTAAGCCACGAAGAGATAAGCTCTTTTAAAGCCGACAATTTCTTCGCGGGGAGACGAGCAGCTTGATTAACAGAGTCCAGCTCAATACCGAGGACTACAAGCGTAGTCGAGGGCTCTACCCACTTGCATGGGTGAAAAGGCGGGCCCAAACGCTTGCAGACTGCTAGAGTGGTGCTTAAGTTGTGTGCACACTGAGACGACTCAGGGGAGCCCACAGTGATGAAGTCATCTAGGTAATGAAGTAGATCAGGGATCTGATAGGAGTGCACGAGGATCCACTCCACCGTGTCAGCTATCGCACTGAAGAAGAATGGAGCTGAACAAAGGCAAAAGGGGAGAGCTAGATCAACATAGTACTGATTACGCCATTTCATCCCCAGCAGAGAGCGGTCTGACGGGTGAACTGGAACGTTGCGGTAAGCGGACTCAACATCAAATTTAGCAATGAGAGCCCCTTTCCCCCAAACGAGACACTAAGCGAATAATTTGATCAACAGTGACGTAGTGAAGAGTAAACTCATCCGAGCTAAGCCCAAAGCTACTAATTAAGAGGTTGGAGAGGGCAGGGCAGGGGAGGGGTATTGAACGGGCCTGCCACCCTGCCCAAAGAAACCTCGTTCCCTAGATACGTGTCAATGACAGAAGCATGCTGAGTAGCAGAAGGCTTGTTCTTCTTAGCGGACTTGAGCTTTTGGGAAGGGCAAAACCCAGTTTAAACCCATGATGAATTCCATCCAGCACAAAGTTAACCTGCGGCCGCTGGGGGTCGAGTCGCAACTCCCAGGCAAACTGCTCCGCCTCTAAGGGAGTGACTGATGAAACTGGGGGGAGAGGAGCTGAAAAATAACGAAAAGCATACAAAGACAAATAACTAGCCCCACAAACCCCAGTTCAACGCGCAAAATAAATCAGCTGGGACAGTCAACATGAAACAACTAGCTTTAATGAAGCCTAAGAAGTACATGTGGTAGGCCACCACCCTGAGGCAAGCTAATTAAACAAGAGTATAAAGTGACTAAGGAACAAAAAGAAATCTAATTAAGTCCAATAAGGCCTAGACTTAAGGGCTTAAGTCCTTCAACCTAAAACAACTCAACGACAACACAAGGTGGGCATGACAAATCCTAGACGAATCCTAGATTTTCTGCTAGAACGAGGTGGGGAAGCATCGACTGGCCGTTTGGAAGAAGGACGAGACTGGCTTGATGGGTAACCAGGGCAAGCTCTCACGGGATGCGGGCCAAAGCAACTAGAGCATTTGAGAGCGAAGCGGCACGACGATGAGGGAGCAACACAATAGCCGCGGTTCCAGGACTTACAAATAACTAGCGAAGATGGTGCGCCGCAGGGTTCAGTTAACTCATCTGAAAGTTCACGGCCAGAGCCTACCAGATGCTCCAGCCGCATGGAAATTAAATAACTGCACATTGATGATTGACCACTCTGTAAGGTTCGTGGCAGCAGCGTGTTCGCGAAAAGCCAGATCGTACGCCAACCAAACTCGGCCAGCGAACTGACGGTAAGTCCGAAGGAGGAGGAGCTGATAATGCAACAAGTCTTTCCAGCGATGCGGGAAATGGGAGTTTAAGATAAGACAATAAACCGAAAAGGCTTCTAACCAACTGATTATGTCGTCAACGTGCCGCTTAAGCTTTTTCGGAGTCGACGTTAGTACCAGCCGCCCATCGAATAGCAATTGAGGTTCGGGCTCATTTAACACCAACTTAGCGGAAAGCTGTTCGTGCAAATCAACAAACTTTCCAGCCACGATATGGCTTACGACTTTCGCAGGACCTGTCAAAAATCCGGGGCCGACAACGAACGGCTGATGCGGAATAAGCGTTTGGGCCAGCGAAGAAATACCGCCGAGGCGAAGCGGAGCGGTCACGGCGACGGTATTGGTGGAAGATGTAAAGGCGGGTATCGGTGGGGCAAATGCAGGTACAACAAAATCAGGCCTACCTTGGACCGTGGAAGTGCAAACAGCCGGAGAGACAGATCAAAAACCAACGCCAGAGGCTGCCAAGCCCGAGGCTTGAGCATCGAGTTCGCGAAGAGACAAAGACGAACTAGGAACGCCCCCAAGCGTGGCCGCCATTGGTAAGCTCGTGGCAAAACTAGTGGCTGGCGTCGAGGGCAGATTCGAAGTTTGCTCGGCTGCTAGCGCGTGCTTGACAGCATTTACAGCGGAGGCCAGAAAGGCAGGATACGGCTGATCCGACATCGGAGATTGGGATGTGGCTGGTGGGTCAGACGAGCTTGTTCTACGAATGCAGGCGGTTCGCTCTTTCTGTAGCTATACCGCAAAACCAAGCACAGTGACCCTCATTTTTTATTTCATGATTTTAACGAAAACAATGCTTCCTTTCAATGAGAAATTTAAAAAAAGGAAAATCTATGCTCAGTACTTTGGCAATTTCATGACCAGCAAAGGAAGTTGTATCACACACTTTTAGGGCATGGAAGGCGGCGAGAAACTTCGATTTAGATGGCCAAGGGCCTTTGCAAAGAGATGAGCGGGTATGATGTTGTGGGTTTTTCTTCCTGTCCCATGGGACACCCAAAATTCCTTCAAGTCTAAATAAGCCCGTTCCAGGCTCCAAGATAGCGGGGAAAGCGAAGCGAGGAAAAAGCGCGAGGGTTCGAATAATGGTTGACTTGTGACAATTTTCTTCTGCATCGGCTACATGAACTATCCTTTCCTTCCAAGGACATATTATTTTTTCCAAATCTCCCAGCCAGCAAAAAATTGCCTGAAGAACAGATTTTAAGAGGAGCAGGTCCATTGGGTGCGCTTACTCTTTTTCTCCATGAGGACAGAAACATAGCTGAGCGTGTTCGTTTGCTGCCGGTGGATTTCTACCGGCATTTTTCTTTTCATCATGCGATCCAGTTTCATCCTGTTGAACGCATTGCGACGAGATCTATGCCACATACCAGACAACTTGCTAATGTGGAAGCAATTCCATTTCCCACATCAAAACATTTCCAGTCAATTGACAAATTTTCCTTCTGGCCTCAGTTTGGTCTAAAAATAAGGGAGGGCGGGCCCCTCGGGCCCCTCTCCTGGATCTGCCACTGACTGTTAAGACGTTTTTAGCTCAGTTCACTCTTCGCCAGACCAGAGCCTGCCTAGTTTATTCCTATTTATCATCCTTGTTTTTTTCAATTTTCTCTTTTCATTTTTCTTTGACAACGTCCGCGCCTATTTCAAAACCTTTTACGAGCATCAAGACATGTTGAAAACTACTGAAACATGGAAACTATCTCGAATTTTATATAGCATTCCAATGTTCGGAACCAGTACGAAGGTTTGGAATTTTTCTGCCAATGGCGGGCCTTTCTAAAACACAAACATGAAACCTTTTTCAGCTTAGATAAAAAGAAAAAATAATCATTTTTGGCTGTTTTTCCACAGTTGCGCCGTAGATATTTCTAGATTATAAAAGTAAGCATTTGGAAAAAGGCCCATTACTTTTCACCTGCAAGACAAGAAAAATTTGCATGTTACGCAGTTCCTTTCAATATGCGTGTTGGAAAGATGTCAAAACGGAATTACAGCCATTTTAATAACTTGGACTTGCTTTCAAAAGAGGTTTCCGTATTTGCAATTGTTTGTTCTTCTATATCACACAAATTGTAAAAACAAACAAAAAACTTCAGGTGTTATAGTGAAAGGCAGGTTGTTCAATTGTGTGTCAAGAGACCAATGGAGAGTTGTCAAGACACTTATTCGTCACATGGCTGGCATTATTATTAAATCCACTATTATGTTCGATGCATTGAATAACGGAATACACTTGTTGCGAACACATGAAGCTTTCAAGCTAAACTGAGCTTCAGAATTAGTTTTCGAAGGCCTTCGCAACGGTGATTTTGTCTGGGCTAGAAACAGTCAACTTCGCCTTGAACAACCATTACCTATCACTATTTTGTGATTGCTTTAACTTCACAGGGAATGTGAACCGGGCAGGGATGTGACGCTGCGGACCTTTCAACGCACATTTACACCTTTGAACGACGGAATTGACTGGAAAGAGGTCTGGAAACATTAGAGAATCTTGGGTTGTATTTCGGTTGATTTGTTCTTTGTCACCTAACTAAAAGGAACTCCGAGGTAAAAATATTTGAAACAAAACTGACAACAGCAATTGTCTTTAGTCTGAGATAGTTTGATTTTAATGGCAAAGAATTCATCAAAATGTTGCAGACGCACTTGTCATGAATGTGACAGTTAATGACTTAAGAACCTTTCAGGAAAGCAAACACCACACCATCTCTGTATTTATTACAGCGGCTTGTTTGATCGCCATATCAGCAGTTGCTTTGAGCGGAAATTTGCTCGTATTGGCGGCAATAGCCATAAATAGGAATCTTCGCTCTTTATCAGATCTCTTTGTAGCAAATTTAGCCCTCGCAGACTTGTGCCAAGCTTGTGTGGCGGTTCCTCTACGGGTTGTCAATCTGTTTGGATCAGAACATGCACCGATTATTCCCTGTCATGCAGTGGTTTTGTTTTCAGTTCTGTTTGGTGGCGCTTCTAACTTCAGCATTTTACTTGTGAGTGTAGACAAATTTATAGCCATAAAATGGCCATTCAAATATAACAATTGGACTACGGTGAAATTGCTTATTTGCGCTATTGTCCTAAGCTGGCTTTCCTTGATCATATATTCAGTTTTACCCGTGATAGGGTGGGGTAAGGCTGCAACCGCGGACTTTTCTTCAACTTGCCGTTTCATGGATACACTGGACAAGCACTATGTGGCCACAGCTTATTTATTTATTCACGGAATACCATTAACAACTATCATTTTCATATACTTTTTCATCCTCAAAGCCACATTCCGACATTCGAGGACAATTGCGGCACAAGAATTGAGCTTGAGAACAAATAACTTTCCAATCAGTAACGCTGCTTCCATCACTAACGAGGAGATGAGCACCAACGATGATCGGGAGCAAAAGCAAAGTGGCAGGAATCAACGCCGGCACATGCGTGCCTGTGCTCAGCCCAGCAGACGGGGCAAAGGTGTTCGTATGGTCGCTGTTTTAGTAGGTCTCTTTATCATCCTAGTGCTGCCGATCATTGTGATTGACGTGCTAGAGATGTGGAAAGAACCATTCGTACCGCTCGCCGTTGTTTATGTTGCAATCTGCTTGATTTACGCCAATTCGGCCGTAAATGTGTTCATATACGCTGGCTGGAGCTCCGAGTACAAAAGAACGTTTCGTGGTCTTTTAAGTTCTTTTTGGGAGTTAGTGTTAAGACCGTGCTCTTAACAAACAGGATTAAGCTTTGCACCTCTGGCGAAGTTCCAAAGCTGGATTTATTTCACTACTTCCCACGCATCATACAGTCGCATTCATTGTATCTCCCCACATCATACACGGTTTCGAACTCTTTTGTTCAGAGGAGCTCAATCTATACTTCGATTGAATTCGAAAAATGAAAGTTCGATGCGAAGCGCCGGGATTTTTGATATATCCCTTCTTGACCAAAAAAAAGAAAAATGACAACAAAACCCGTCTTGATTAGGAAATACCACTACTTGACAGCTGAAACAAAAGGCAACAAAAGGGTCATAGCTGTTAGTAATTCTGGTGTAAAGGAAGTTGTGAAAAGAAATGCCAGTAGCGTACTGCGAAATACTCACCGTATCTGACACCCCCGACTAATTAGTCGGGGGTGTCAGTTTCAAGCGACTGAAAACGCCACAAAATGGCAGAACACGACACTAAAAACATACGGTGAGTTATCTTTATTCACTTTTCTTACATTATATCAACATTTGGAAGTCAAAAGGTGCAAGATACTGTGTTTTATGAAGCATTTCTAACGATTACTTAAATCAGGCCGAGTGCGGGCGTTACGAAATACAGTATGGGATCAAATGTCGCGCGTGACATCATAATCCCTCGAACAGTTCGGATGGTCCACCTGTGGTGCCAGTAAGGAGTAAAATACCGTTTGCAAAGACAGTAGTGTCCGATAGCCCAGGGCTATTGAATTTTGCTATCCGGCTAGTGAATTCTGTTCTTGACATGCCCTAGGGGAAAGTGAAGTATCTTTTGGGAATTCAAATAACAGAAGAACTGTAATCAACCTTGCTCATCGAAAATATTTTTTCGGGCTAGTCGAAATGACTTTTGGGCTAGTATGTGCCCTACGGGCAAGCTGTAAAAGTGAGTTTCTTTGCACACTGCCGGAAATGACGCGAATCATATCAAGTACTGTACTACCATATCAAGTTTACATTTGGGATACAGACCAGCAAAGGAACAAGTGCCCAAGTGGAAAGACCCAGACAACCTGCCCAGAAAAAAGTCGGATGATACGCTATACAACAGTTGCTCTAAGACACTGAATGGCCATTCAGTTAATCAGTTGAGCACAATTTATGGATACTAAACGTTCAATTAAATACAAATCTCTCTAAAAGGGGAGTTAATTGACTGTTTTCAGTAATGAAAGGCAAAACTATACCAGCTACAGCACAGAGAAAGATAAAGACTATGAATAATTGAAACAAAGGAAAAGAAAATTTAAACCAAGGATGAAATGGAACTATAACATGTATTTTCGGTCAAGTTGAACTGACATGTGCTAAAAGTGATTTTTAAGTTTTGAAAAGTGAGAAAGGTGGGTTGATTCTCCTGATACCTGACGATAATGTTAATGATGACAATGATGATTAGGACGATCAATGTTATGAAATTGAAGACAATCTACAATGTTATTTATGGGAGCCGTATAAGGGTAAAGGGGGTAATTATGGTGTGAATAGAGCTGGCTTCTTTCCAAAGTAAGGAACATTGATTTTTAGCAATTAAGAATAAAAGCGTTCTTCACTGAACCTTGAAATGACAAACATCACTTGAGAAGTGGTATATCAATAATGTTACAAAAGCTTAACCTTACAAGTATCAACAAAAAAATTGACATCCCTCATTGCTGCCTCCAGAAATTACTCTTATCCTCCCTTTTGTTTAAAACTAAAATCATAAAGATCCCCACTAAAAATCCGATAACAATATGCAGTACCTCGTGGCACATTTTAAGCCGATTGTTGATGTTTTGTATTTTGAAGGAATTCATCATCCATATTGGTCCAGTCTGCTTTTCGATCTAGGATTAATTGTTGCGATTCATCGCAATTGCAGTCAAAATGCTTCAAAAAGCAGACGACACCAATCCCGAAATTAAAATACCCTTATTCTATTAGAGTTGTGGAGTTACCGATTAAGTTTTGAAGTTAAACCTACGAAACTTAAGTATCGCAGTCAAGAGAGGAGAAGGCGTTTCTTTGCAAGTATGACTAAGTTGTGAGAGCGCCGTAATACGGTATTTATGATCGTACGAAATGGATAATGACTGACACTTAATATGAAGCTACTATGAATAAAATGTCAACACATTGGTCTGGTTGCCGCGCACTAGCAGCACCGGCGGCAGGTCAGCGGATAGCACCTCAAGCCAGCTCATGTACATCAAGGGGGTGGTGACGTCCGTGACGGGGACTGGGATGGAGATGACAACAAGTCTGGTGTCCTGTGTACAGTTTTGTCTCACTAGCTCCCCGATGCGAATCGTCCTAAGGACCTTCTGATCCTCAATTGGTGCGTCTCCGAGTTCATCTTTTACTGGAAGGCGCCTGAAAGCATCAATACTCTCTTTGGAAGGCCTCTTGTTGACTCCTTCTACCTGCTCCACGCAGCTGGCATCTATGCGGAATTTTTTCAGTAGGTTAGCCATACGCAATCCTTGAGGGTTCAGCTCGTGTTTGGAGCGGATGTCAGCCGAGAAGAACCGAAGTTTGCAGGCTTTCCAAGCGCGATGAAGGGTGAGCAGATAGGGGATCATACCAGTTAACCCACCATCATCATAGAGCCACCACACGTCCACAGTTCCAGTCTGCTTCTCCTTTAATGCAATTTTAACGAGCTGCGGTACCGCATCATCGTTGGAGAGTTCCGGAGACGCTCGGTCTAGGCTAGTGAGACTTTTTTTCTCTTCCCTCGTGCTGTCCTTTGATGGCGTGGAGCGTCGTGTGGGCCTAGAATATTCATCTTCGTCTACTACAGAGTCGGTAGGAGTCTCGTCATCGTCATAACTTTCAACGTCAGCTTTCCCCAGGATGAATTCCTCGTTCATGCGAAGTATGACCAAACCATAACCAAGTTCGAAGATGTCATTTATGACTCCAAGGTAATCTACTACTTCATTTAGGTATTTCTTATTTGTCCAGTTATTCTTGAAGCCCATGACCACTGTGTTTGGACGCATCTTTCCCAGACCCGCAAGATGCATCATGGACTGCACGCCCACACGGAGATTGGGGGCTAGTAAAGAAGAAAAAGGGAAAACAGACGTCAAGCAGAAAAATCTACTAGCAAATGCCATCATGTTTCGTTTACATATGACTTTCCTGTGTAAGGAACTCTGTAATGGTTTTACTATTAAAGTCTTTTCTTGTATAAAGCGAACGTGCCGATCATTGCAAGTTTATGGTTAAGTCGATATTAATATGCTGAGATTCTGCATTCAAAAGCTCTTCGCATTTTGAAAATGAGAGATAACAACTAGTAATAGTTGACACTACAGCTGCCCCCGCTCTGTATATTGTCAGTTAATAGTATTCTTGCTCGTTGTGAAGCTCTTTGAAATTTGCCGATTCATAATGAAGATGTTCACAAATATTCCATACAATAGGTGAGATAAACACAGGAAATAAACGCAAGGTTCCATGCACAGTTTCGGTTCGATTTACACAGCTTTGATCAAAACATTCTCAGTTTCGAGAATAGTTTATTCTAAACCACAAGAAAAGATTTAATTAGAAGTTTAATTTTTCGCTATTTCTATTTCACTTTTTACATTTAGTTCATTTTATTTGCCGGAAAGTAAGCCTTAGAAATTAAAAGGAGGTTTGGGTTCCTTCTGTGAGTACCGGAGCACAGATTACGTAATACAATAGTAATAAAAGACAGGAAACAAAACAACTCCAAATAAAGACTAATCCCAAGTGACCAAAAATACAAAGCTTTCCGGTACCTGCAGAAAGACCCGAGGTTTGATCACTTTACGCTCGCGCATTCTAGTCTTATTTTAAACTTTATAGCGGAAGGACATCTGTGAGCAGGGAATAAGTCAGCACAGAATTTGACCGTCGGCGAATTTCTGTAATCGTCCATCGTTCTGCTAGTGATAATCTAGCCGTTGAATCATTCACTCATCTTGCTTGTTTTGGGCCAAGTCTTATTCCGGTCAAAGAAAGAGAAAGAGTGTCTGGCAAGGTTTCCAATCAAAGATTTGTGAACCCGTGTCTCGCAAACTCGCTTAGAGTTAAAACATACACTGTTCTACTCAAATTATAACTTCATCTGCGCTTAACGAGTGTCTTTTAGTCCATACCTTTCATAACAACTGCTCCGCAGAATGTCACTGATAACAAAAGAGTATCGAAGTGTGACTGCACAATTAACGTCACAAAATCTAACTATTGTAAGCTGTTGTTTCGGAATTTTTTGTGTTTTACGTGATCCTAACCATTTCGTACTTGCGGGCGCAAACAATAGAAACGTCATCATTACCTACCGATTCCTCGCGGCCCCCGTTCAAGCAGATCGAGATTTTTTCTATATTGCCTGTATGACTGTATATTTCAACTGTAAGTACTTTCCTTAATAAACTCGCGAGTTACTAGAGTGCCTCCTCGGCCGATTTCAGTAGTATAGGAGGGACCGAATTAACCTCTTTTTTGCGGAGGATTCTCATTAGAGTGCGGAGGAATACATTAACGCCAATGACGTCATAACCTATTGTCTTGAACTCATGAATAAAATGCGCAGGAATCTCATTAACTTGCGGTGGAATCTCATTAAGTATGTCCAGTTTGACGGGTTTATCAATGATGTCATGTTCTATTTTTATCTTGTGGCGGTCACTGTTGGTATAACCGGTTTGTCAGGTTTTAGTTATTTTCGGAAGATGATGTCATATGTATTCCGGGGTACTATGATGTCATAGTTGTTTTGATTGGTTGACTATAGGAGGGATGTTTTAGGCCTCTTTTTTGAGCAGGAATCTCCTGTACCCCCACTGTACCCTTCCTGTGCCCCTACTAGCCTTTTGGCATTTTCGAGGGAAAACAATAGAAATGAGGAGGTGGAGGAGGAGGAGGAGGAGGGAAAACAATAAAAATGAGGAGGAGGAGGAGGAGGAGCAGGGAAAACAAAAATGAGGAGGAGGAGGAGGAGGAGGAGGAGGAGAAGGAAAAACAATAAAAATGAGGAGGAGGAGGAGGGAAAACAATAAAAATGAGGAGGAGGAGGGAAAACAAAAATGAGGAGGAAAAGGAAAAACAAAATGAGGAGGTGGAGGAAAACAAAAAATGAAAAGGAGAGGGGTAAGTAAAACATTGCTTGCAGTGTAAAAAAGAGCTAGTTTGCCTTTACCCTCTTTAATATACACGATTTGCCCGCCAAAAATCAGTGAACCGGAACAAGGACAATCACAGCAGTAGGAAATAGGAAGTGCATAATTACGTTACGTCTCAGTGATTTTAAGTCACCAGTATACTTAATTAAATCCACCGCATTTTATTCATGAGATGAGGACAATAGCCTATGACGTCATCGGCGTTAATGCTCACGCTAATGAGATTCCTGCTCAAAAAAGAGGCCTAAAACATCCCTCCTATACTACTGATTTCGCCTTCTGGGCGAAATCCCTGCCGGCGCAATAAAAGTGCCAATCCAAAGACAGTTAGTGATAACAACTTTACGTTGGTCGAACTTAGAAAAGGCCAATTAACAGGCAGGTATGTCGGCAGGTATCTTAAAGTACGACTTTAAGTGATTTGTTCACAGCTTGCTTCCTGGAGAATGGTGAAAGCGCAATAAGACCAGTTTATGCAAAATGTTTATACATTTTGTACCATCTTATAAGGGGAAAGAGGATATAAACATTCATACCTGTTGTCACAGCTTGGAAAGCTTTTATCTTGTTTTCCCTGATCCAGAGGGTATCAGCAGTGTTTGAAGGTAGAGATCCAAACTCTTTTTGAATTATCACATTTCCATAGACCATGAGACTGACATTTTTGGTAATTTGCGACGCAAGGTGAGTCAGATTTGGTCTATCCTGTGGAGGACCTGTTAAAACCAGGCAGTGTGGGCGGAAATTCTTCACGTGATCGTCTATCCCGTCAAGGCGACGGGTGTAGCGGAGTGCTTGGATGAAGGTGAAAGCTTGAGATGAGGAACCCCAGTTTACCTGAAGTAAATGGAGCAAAAAAGTTAATAATTAGAGAAAACACCAAGTACGATGGGATGAGCAGTGTTATGACTGTATCCTACATTTTGTACATTGGTGCTGGGCCGGTGGGCACTCTGTTATCCTTGAATTGGTAGTTTCCGTAAGAACAGAGCCACTGCCAGCACATTCAGAAGTGGACATTTCTATGGAAACCCTTACTAGACTCCACCTTTCAAAGCCTTCATTCTTGAAGTAAAAGGAAGATAGCGTAAGTGAAGGAATGTACCTTCAACTCAACTCAGTGACACAATATATCATGTTCAAATTATTATCCATCTTAATAATTTCTAGGTACTGTATTTCTAGGTTCCTTTATTATCTATCGTATTTTCCTACACAATAGCCAGGGTTGGTGACTTCTATTTACACACCAAAAGGGGGAGATAACTCCAGGGACCGATGGTGATAAACCTAGGGACTTTTACCAAAGAAAAACAGGCTTTTCAAAATAATATCAATTTGCTTTCTTTGATAAAATTTCAAAGTATTTCAAGCAGTGAGTCAGTCTCGACTGATGTCCACCTCAGCATCCTATACCAGGTTCCTGCCAATGGGTCAGCGTGAGCAGCTTTGAAAATGCCTGTGGAAGACATATATCGTGGTCCACCAATGGAGGAGGTGATTATTCAAAGGAGGCCAGACGATTAACCAAAACAGAACATGCAGCATGCTAATATTACCACATTGTATTAAGTTACCCAAACAGAAAATAAAATAGAGCTAACAACCTTAAAAATCTTTGGTCACTTTACTAAGCCAGATCAAAACCAACAGACCTCTTCAGCCTGTATGTTTTGTTTCCCCAATTCAGACCACCTGATGTTCTCCAGGAAATGTGCCTTTTTATAAACTACGCAGACATGTGCATGTGGATGCATGAGAATTGGATGACAGTTCTCTGGGTTACTATCACATGGTCTGAAATGGAAATGGAAAAAGGTCTATTGACAGGTTGAGATGACCCTTACCAGGAAAAACCAATTAAAAAAGGCCACTGTTTTCCCAAAGGCTTCATGAAAATAGGCGTGGTTATAGTCAGTAAACACCTCTATGTGTGGATAAGTGTTTTTTGATTCCCATACTACTAGAGGGTTAAAAGAGTCAAATATCCAAGTATACATTAATGAGACAACCCTGGTTTTTTAAAGTATTTAGCTGCATTTGATACTTACCTTTGGCTTAGTGATGTCAACATACTTGTACAAAATCATGACAATAAAAATTGTCACCAAGGCAGCCCACCGGTTGATCAGAAACATCATGGCTATGCACAACAGGGCACCCAATAAGGACAACCACATGTTATAGTATTTGAAGGCTGGACGCCACCCTGGGGAATGACCCAGAGAAGCTGCAAACACTGCATAATTGATGAGGGCATATACAATAAGGAAGAAATTGGAGATGATTGGTGCTATAACATCAAGGTCACCAATTGCGATGAAGGCTGCAGCTATGACAAAAGCCAGAATGTAGCCACGACGTGGCTCATTACCTGGACCATAGCCAACACCAAAGAAAGAAATGTAAGGAAAGAGGTGGTCCTTACACACAGCTTGAAATGCTTTGGGTGCACCTACAAGACTTGCAAGTGCTGATGATAAGGTGGATGCAAAAATGCCTGCTGTCACAATGGGACCCCATCCAGACACTGCCTCCATTACCTAAAAGATAAGTAAAAATTAACAGAACATTAGAACTCCAGGTTGTGCTTTAGGAATCAGATCCCAAACACTTGTCTGATAACTTTAAAATTCAGAATGCTCCATGTTTGCAACTTGTTACACATTGAAAGCTATTTAATCTCTTGATCAATATCAAACACAGGCTAAGGTAACACACTTGTCAGAATTTTATCATTGACTGAAAAGTTGTGATTTATTTCCATAACTAGCTGTTGGCAAAATGTTTAAAATGTATGCATTCCACTGGAGAGCAACATACCTGGAAATCATTCAGGAGGCCATATCTACATTCCTGCACTAGGCAGGAGGCTGCCATGGTTTGGTTTGCACTCTGATTTGAGATTACTACACCAAGTGCCTCTCTTTCAACACACGAACCCACCAACCAGCCAAGCATTATGTAAACCACTGTGCTTATCAGGATTGCCAGCAGTGTTCCTTTTGGAACAGCTTTGTGTACATTTTTTAGATCACCAGAGATGTTAACCCCAGCTAAAATCCCTGTTGCAGCAGGAAAGAAAACTGAAAACACAGAAAAAAAGCTTTCACCTTTAAAACCAGGACTAAAGTTGGTATCAAAGAGATCCTTTTTGTAGCCAACAAAGCCTTTTGCCCTGCTTTCCTCTGACTGTGGTCCAATGAAAGTTCCGATCATGACATTGAGAATTGAAATAACTAAAACAATCAAGAGGAATATCTGTGTTCGCACCACCCACTGAAGGCCTACCATGGTAACCCCAAGGAGAATAACAATGGTAATGAGACCAACAATTCGAATGTCATTAGACTCATCCACCATAAGAGCATCGCTATCGCGGAGGATATCCCGTACTGTTTCTGCAAAACCAACTACATACATCGCTGTTGCCACAGCACTAGCAATTGAAAAAATGACACCAATGGAGCCACCAAACTCTGGACCAAGACTGCGGGATATTAGATAGTATGCACCACCTAAAGATACCAAGAATTAAAAAGAAATACTGTAAATCCTCTATTAAGCCCCCCCCACCCTTCAGGGGAAGAAAGTTAATAAGCCCCCCTTCCCCTTCCCTAATTATTCTTCACTAATAAAATATAGACTGTATAAATCAATATTACGACTGTAAAACTTCGTGTCGACTGATGTGGAATGGTTTATTTACCAACTAGAAGTTTGGATTCGATTCTCATCCTCGGCTGCATGACCTAAAACTTCTTGTTCTTAAGCTTATCCACTTTGTATTCTTGTTCTTTTTGGAAAACTGATACCATCGTCATTTCTAAATAATATTAAATAACCCACCCCCCTCTCAAATAAGCCCCCCATCTCTATTAAGCACCCCCTCAAATGGGCTTGAAAAAAGTAAGTCCCCTGCAGGCTTAATAGAGGATTTATGGTATCAGTTTGCCAAAATCTTATGATGACTTCACCATTCTCATGCTATATACATTATTTTGTGCTACTGTACAACTTTCCAAGACTTTTATTACATCAACTTCAGGTAAAATCAAATAATTTTTTACCTCCTTTCACTTCCCCATTGGTACAAACTGCAGACATAGATAATGTTGTCAAAGTAGTCACCACAGCAGATAAAAGAATGATGACTGTAGCTAAGCCCATTCCAGCATGACCAACCATCCAGGACAGCCTCAAGTACAGCATAACACCCCATATGTTTAGGAGGCAGCCAAATAGCACACCTTTGATCCAACCAAACTTTGGTACAGCATTTGATGCACCCCTTGACCTAATTTCCAATTGGTCACCTTCTTCTAGCTTGCTTTCGTCCAGTATGGGTTCCTTGGAAAGATCACCCTACAAGCACATGAAAGAGAAAAATTCACTCTGATATTCTCAACAAAGGCATTCTTCAATAATGACAAAAATGTCCCATTAGGCTTTACTACTAGCCTGAATTTAGTCATCCCCTTGGGTCACACACTCCACAAATGACACTTGAATCACAGAGCCACAAACGCCTTTGCTTTAATCAATGTTTATTTCTAACTGGCAAACAAAGAAGTGTCATCTGGAAAGGTCTACAGGGTACAGATGAAGTGTTTTACTCTCAAGTCACAATTCATGTCAAAAACTAAAATTATCAACTGCATGCATTATTCTGAACAGATCTTTTGCTTGACGTATAGCACCATAATTCAATAATATTAATCAAGCTCGATCATGACCTCACAAGAATGGCATACACATGGGACACTTCCTTCAATTTCCTTTAATTTAAAAGAAGCTATTTGGTCCTTAACAAAGAACAAAGCAAGCAAGCAAAGAAAGAGAAACTAATCATTACACTTGACTGTCAGTGGAAATGACAAGAAGTTCTCACAAAAATCAGTTGCTGATCAGTGCTTCGCTTTAAGCAAAATCACTGCCAAAACCACAAAGCGGCTCTAAATGAAAACCTATACTGACTTTCCACATTAATTCTTTATTTGTAGTTCAATTTAACAAGTCAAAGTTTCAGTTTATTAAGACAAGGGCTCTTTTGCTGTTCAGGACAAAGATAGTTGCAATTTTGGACTCAATGCAAGCTTGCAATCTGCTGAATATCAACACAGACCCTCAAAAATTTCTCATAATTATACATAATCAGGGTCTATTCTAGAAATTTGCCAATGAGGGTCAAATGTAATTCTAGGGGGCCCTTCTTCAAGAAAGGGGGATTAAGAAAGGGGTTCCCTCAAAAGGTATTTGAACTTCCTTATTGGTACAGAATGTTCCATGAGAAAATGAACGTTTATTGACACTTTGCTGCCATTTTGGAACATTCTAGGCAAAGGAAAAAGCCTTAGCTGAAATTACTGCAGAACACCGGATGTTTTTCTGGTGAAATAATGCTCAAATGAAGAAGAGAAAGGCAATTGAGGCAGTAAGAGGCTATAAAAGTTCAAAGTAAGTTTATGGAGTGGCCGTCAAATCAGTGTTGTTACATCAGTGATGTTTTTCAATACTTTTATTTCAAAAAAATAGTACTTATCCTTTGGTCTATTTTTTGTGCCCCATTTGACATGGCAACGTAAACGTAAATTTTATGCAGGATTTTTTTTCACATTGTGGAAATGCCAGATGCCTTCCTTGGCAGTGTTTGACTCAAGGAGATGGCTGAAATTCAGGCTACTTTACTGCCTAAACAAAATAGAATATAAATTTTTAGGCTAAGCACCAGATCACAATATTATTTTTCCCATACCCTGCCCAAGTCAATTTCAGCATTGCTTCATTCCAAAATAGCATCCACTCAAAATACGTGAAACAGCTCTTCTTCGTGCAGAACGAAGACAGGGAGTGAAACAGGAAATTTCCTAGACTCTAAGGGAAACATAACATAAAATTCAATCTAGTGACTCTCTTGGCACTGTCTCATATTTCAGTTGACCCATGGTGGAGTCCACTCAGGGGATAAGCTTTAAATTTAAGTTTCACTCAAAAGTGAGCTTGTTTGTAAAAATTAATGTGTAGGCCTATTAGAAGATGTGAAAATATAATCTTAACTATCACAACAACGGAGAATTCACTAAGAATTGAGACCTGTTTAATAAAAAGACCATCTTAATGCCACTAAAACTCTTCTATACAGCAGGTTGCACAGTATCAGGCCAATTCAGTTTAAAACTGTTACAATCTAGCCTGAATTTCATCCGATTACTTTGAGTCGTTATTACTCCCTCAGTAACATCTGAATCGACCGGCCGTTAATGCCGTCCAGTGACGTCACTACTCCTTGACATTTGCTTTAATTCATGCAAAAAGTAAAACAAAAATTTCAAGTGGCAAACCAAGAAATATCGTTTGGAAATGTCTGCAATGATACAGAACTGCTTAATATTATTTCGATCGTAATTCATGTTTAACGTTCAAACTATCAACTGCATCCAGTACAACTCTGAACCGGTTGTACTAAATTCTATAATCAAACTAGCTAAGGTCGGCTCACAATCACGCAATGAAATAAACACACACATGGAACACTTAGTTCAAAAACACAATGATTTGCTTTAATTGAAAAGAAGCTATTTGGTCCTTAACGAAGAAAAAAAACAAGGAGACAAGAAAGAAAAGTTAACAGAATCATTACCCTTCACGGTAAAAATAGCGAGAAGGTCGAATTATAACATTGTTCTCAGAAAACTTCGCGTAAACAATTAAATCACCGGCCGCCAAAACCACAAAGTGGCTCTAAATGAAAAACCTACCGACTTTCTGCAATGATTCTTCATTCACAATTCAATTTAGCATTTCAGTTTCGAAGACAAGGGCAATTTTGCTGTTTAAGATAAAGATTACGGTTATCGAAATGTTTGAACTCAACGAAAGAATGGGAGGGATGCGATCCGCTGAATATCAAGCGACAATCCCGCTAAAATTTTCCATAATTATACATAATTATGCGAATGTTTAGACAATCAACTAATCAAAATCACTACCCGGTTTTCACGTAGTGAGTGACGTCACTGGACGGCATTAACGACCGGTCGATTCAGACGTTGTTGAGACGAGAAAACAACTCGAAGCAATCCGTATCCATCATAAAATTAATATTTTTGTATCCAGCCAAGGGGCCCAGTATCCAACCACAACAAGTACAGTGTAATAAGACACAAATTTTGACAGGTAAGCAACTTATACGCTCCTTTTGCACTTGCAAAACAACATGATAAATGACTGGGGTGGGGAGAACGATGTAAGCAGCTTAAAGGTTAGTCTGGGGCTGTGGAGAGAAAATTGAGATGAAAAAAGAAACTTGAACAAAAACCGATTTCTTTTTTCTTTTGAAATGTTTGAATTGTTCATTTTTAATAGGCATTTATTTTAATAACACTTTCCTCCGCCATTATTTCTACTGTGGCTCACAGCCACTTCTTGCCTGAATTCAGTAGGAACATGCATGGTACACATTTATAACCGCACCCACCTCCAGAACATTGATGGTGTCACCATGGAGGAAAACAGGCTTGCTTTAAATTAGATTCTGCTGACCAACTTTTGCAGTACAGTGTTGCGTGCTTGTTGCATGACCAATTTCATGTGGATAGTTAATCTTTATTCATGGTTTCGCCATGAATAAAAGAAAGGATCCTGCACCAAGTCAACCTGGAATCAACAGCTTTTTTTTCCAAGTCTCAGTGGACAGAACGAAATGGAGGAGCTGATAGAGCAGCCTGCCCCAGAGTGAAGGAAAATGCATTTCCGAGAGCCTAATGTTAAAAATTTTCTGGGGGGCATGCCCCTAGACACTCAGGCTCTTTGGGCCTTTCGTTACATGGCTGTTGGCCACATTTTTAAGATGCTCTGGCTGAAATCTTTCATGCTGTGCCTGCTTCAAAACTTAATGACAGCCCTGGTGCAGTTTGTGAAGCCTTTTCACTCATTCAAATTAAAGTAGGTTTTGTAATCAGATTGATTGACAGAATGGATTTCCAATGTTTGTGCTCTGCCTTGGTTTGTGAGTGACAAAGTGCGACAGTTTGTCTATGAGTGAAGAAGTGCGATGGTTTGTCCAGAAAAATTAAAGTCCATATTTTATGCTTGAGCAAACACCTAAAAAGAGAGCCGTTCACAATGCTTTGTTTGAAAGAGAATTGTTGCAATGAAACACATTAATCAAAATGAAGATTCATGATACCAATAATATTGACTTCCCAAATATCAGTTCTATGAAAATGTTGTCATCAATTGTGTTGATATTGTTTCCTGAGCTGTGTATCACGTTCTTGACTATTGACAGGATGTACTCATTCATTATTTGACAGGCGGGAAAAAATAAGCCTCGACAAGAAAAGCCTTCAGATTCAGGCTAAAAGCTGTGATTTTATTTTCAACCTTGATGTGATTTATATCAGAATCACTGAAAATTAAGCATTTCTTAAAACAATACTGTAATGAAATATTATTGTTCTTTAGCATGAAAACTTCGGTTGACAAGGACATGTAAGCTTGTGTATATTTTGGAAAAATGCTCTGAAAAATAGGTAAATATAGTAGATCTATCATGCACCCAACTGAAAGTAGTCATGATGTCTTGACCACAGGTAACCCAGGCTCTGTGATAGTACCACAGTACGGTTCCAGTAAAATTACAGTGTTTGTATGGGGTAAAAATACCATCCTAAAATTTCTAGGAAATACTAAATAAAGATCCATGAAACTTACTCTGCAGTTAATTGTTGTTGTCCTTATTGCTCCAACGAAGTTTCGTGATAATTTGCAGTAATTTGTTCAAATTCACTCTATCTACAATAATAATATACAAGGTATATTATTATTGTAGATAGAGTGAATTTGAACAAATTACTGCAAATTATCACGAAACTTCGTTGGAGCAATAAGGACAACAACAATTATATTAACTGCAGAGTAAGTTTCATGGATCTTTATTTAGTATTTCCTAGAAATTTTAGGATGATATTTTTACCCCATACAAACACTGTAATTTTACTGGAACCGTACTGTGGTACTATCACAGAGCCTGGGTTACCTGTGGTCTTGACGATATGTCGTCATTATTAAATACATTTTTTCTTTGCCTTCACATCGGTCCAATTAAAGATAATTCTGGAGTTATTCACTCAGACGACACATCAAAGGCCAATGCTTTAAATTTCTTTTTTGTCAATGTTGGAAAATTTCTTTCGAAATCAATACAAGACTCTTTAATAAACTCTCCTTGTCAGTCTGCAAGAAATAACAGTGAAATCCCTGTTCTTTCTCTCTCTAACATAGCCCTTAACAAGGATCTTCTGAAATCTTCTCTGAAGTGTTTGAAACCTGGCAAGGCAAGTGGTCCTGATGATATTTCAAGCAGGGGACTGCGCCTTATTGGAGATGTATTTTTGGACTGCTTTATGCCACTGGCTCAAAGAAGTATTTTGGAATGCAAATTCCCAAGCCAGTGGAAGCAGGCACAGGTGAAATGTCTTCACAAGAAAGGGAGCACTCTCGACTGCGGAAATTACAGGCCGATCTCCCTTCTCAGCATTCCGGGCAAGCTATTAGAGAATGTTGTAAGCCAACAACTTGACAACTTCTTATATGGCAACAATCAAATCTCTTTAAATCAATGGGGCTTCAGAAAAGGAGGCTCACCTGAACTTCTTTTACTCTCACTAACAGAACGATGGCGTTTGGCCCTGGATGAAAGCAAGGTTATTGCCGTAGTCTTCATTGACTTTCAGAAAGCGTTTGACTGCATCAACCATACAGTTCTCATCGATAAATTACACTCTATAGGCATTAGTGGCTCCTTTTACGATTGGCTCCTAAATTACCTCGAAAATCGTAAACAATTTGTAACTGTAAATGGTTCTAACTCAGAATTTTTGGAAATAGATACTGGTGTGCCTCAGGGGTCTTTACTCGGTCCCAGATTTTACAGCATTTACTCAAATGATTTACCTGAAGCCACAACAAAAGCTTCTGTTGAAATGTTTGCGGATGATACCACAGTTTTTTGTATTGGAAATACTGTTGATGAAGTCTTATCTAAAATTCAGGAGGCGATCGCCGACTTAAACAAATGGGCTATGGTTAACTTCATGACTATTCATCCTGCAAAAACCGAATTGATGTTGTTATCTAAATCACATTATTCATCGGGCCCTTACAGAAAATATGTTTAGGGCAAAAGGAGTTGTCCTTTGTTTCTAAATCTAAATGTTTAGGGATTCAAATCGATAATAAACTCTCCTGGTCGCCACATATCAAATCCTTGAGCAAACGTTTTTCAGCAAGAGTGAAGAAACTGAAACACTTAAAAGGTCTCGACAGTCGCATCTTAGAGTCAATTTATTTCAAAGGTATCATTCCAAGTATTACGTATTCAATTGCATTATGGGGATCTTCAAAATCTCTTCAGACCCTGGAGGACATTCACATCGGAGCAGCGAGATTTATTTTTAACATAAAGAATTCTACTCTTAGCACTGAGGTCCTGGCAGCGACAAAATGGAAGTCTTTATCATACATGTACAAAAAGAGGATTGCAACCATATCTTATCAAGCATTTTATAACAGGGCTCCGGCTGGTATAAATTCTTTATTTATTAAACATTCTCCATTAAGAAATCTCAGGGACAGTCTGAAACTATACGTGCGTTGCCCTAAAAGTGACTTCCTTCGATCTTCCTTCTCTCATCGTGCGTCTATTCTATGGAATAACTTACCCATGTACTTAAAGAGCAAACCCAATATTGGTTCTTTTAAATCTGCTCTTAAAGAAAAATCTGACATTTTAGATAAAATAACATTTAATGGGTTACAGGGAATAAATAAAGATATTGTAAATTATATATATTAAGGCAACAGTCAACTGTTGTTTATCTTGCTAGGTATTGTTTTTATTTTTTCTTACTCATTGTAAATAATTCATTGGTTTGTTAATATTATTAGTTACTTTTTTTGTAGATACTTTTTAGTTTGTAGGTCCACATCAGCTCTTTAGCTGCCTCTTTTTTCACTGACCTACATGACAAATAAAGTATGTATGTATGTATGTATGTATGTATATGGAAAATGGTTCCCTTGGGAGTTAACAGATGGACAACATGCTCAGGAAGGGAAACTTCCACTGGGTATGAACCGCTCTGCATGGTGTAGGTTTATAGGATCCTCAGTCTTCACTCTTAAAAACGTATTCCATTTCACTATGTAGTGTCTCGAACAGGGTTTCAACAGCACAGCCCCAATCAATCTTCCTTCAAATCTCCGCCCCCCCGCCGCCCGCTCCGGAGAATTTTCTTGCCATATACATAACGATAACTCGGCAAAACCGGCTTCGCCGGTTGTTTTCCGAGTTAAAAATGAAACCAAAGGTAATAGTACAATTAAATGTCCCTATTCGCACATTAAGTACTAACATAACAGGTTCATACACTGCAAACATTAGAAGCTGAACATGCATGTCTTACCTACCTTGTCATTCTCTAACCCTTTACGAAGCTCTTGGAGAGTGGGTCGTTGCTTTCCGGCATGGCCTTGCGAGTGCTGACTTCGATAGAAAATGGTCATAGGAATGGCCTCATTGGTTCGGTACCCGTACGTGAACTGTTCAGGAGTCGTTGGGCTTTTTGGCGCATTTGCATCTGGTGCTTTCCTTGGTTCGGTGTCATTTTCCTTATCCAAAGGATCAGTTAATGTCTCATCAAATTTTACTTGGTTGACAGAGAATTTTTTGGCCTCCCTTGTTGACGGTTGATCGCCATTTGTAGTCTCTGAATTATCATTTTGTTGAGCTTTCGTGTCTCGGTCGTTACCAAGTGCTGGGATCTCTCTCTCCTCTTCCGACATCCTGATCGGTACAGCCTACAGCAAGAAACCCAATTTCATGCAAATATCTTCGTTGACCGCATGTGATCCTCAAATGGTCCAGCTGAAGGCGATCAATCAAGTTTTCCACCCAGTTATCGATCGCGCGGGATTTTCTGATGCATTCGAAATTTGCATAGTACCGAGAAAAATGCAATGATGCACTTGATTGGTTCAACGAAGGTAGAGCAGGAGGAGGCACCGGGGGGGGGGGGTACTCCTGGGAATTCTTAGCTGGGGGTGTGCTACCCGGTTCTTTAAAAAGACTAGAACATGTCTCACCTGTTTTCAGACGGCCCGTTTCTCGAAAGCTCCGGTAATTAACGGGCCCGTAAAGCTGTTGTTGTTTACATGCAAGATAGAGGTTTCAGTAGGTTTTATATCTAACATGATAAAACTATCAGTTAGTAAAATAAAATGGAGTAGTTTGCTAGCCAGGACCCGAGCTTTTATTCTTTATATTAAGATTTGAATATTTGATTTGGGGCCCGTAAAGTTACCGGGACTTTCGAGAAACGGGCCCCTGGCCTCTAAAATTCGCACCCTTTTTCAGACCTCGCTTAGAAACTCGTGAGGTCGACTTGTGGCAAGTCTGTTAGATTAGAACGCCAACAAAAAAATTTTCTTGACATCCACTTCGAATTCGCATAATTCTCTTTCTTTTTCTTTCTTTGGAACTGAAACGATAAATACTTTCATACACTCCCGTGGTTTAATACTCTCAAAAACCATACACGATTCCAGACCAAAATGGGCAGAGTCTTCACCTTTTTTCAGACCAAAACGTCGGCAAAAATCAATACCCTTTGGGGCGGCAGGTACCCATATGACTTATACAAGGGAGTACCCCCCGGGAGAAAGCAAAGGGATAACAACCGATTTTCAGCTTTCTTTTTTAATTTTGAGCAGACGCGTACATTTACCGTGTTTGGAGAGCATGGTACAATGGCTCATATACCATGATGGCTAAGCCAATCAGCGCTCTAGAATTGCATTATCCAAAGATTCAGTTTTTAATAATAAAAGACATGCGGTATGCATCAGGGCGGATAAAGGTTGGGCGGTGAAACGAGCGCTCCGCTCTTCATTTAATGTGTGATGCGGAGTAGGACTGGCACGAGCGCTCTTTCCGCGCTTCCGGTGCGTTTGAAGGCCGGCGAAATTTTCCTTTTTGGAAACCGGAAATACTATTTTCTTTCTGTAATTTCAGGCTACAATGTTTAATAGATAAATTCGTTTCATAACAATATCAATGAACAGTTTTATATGTTTGTGTCTGTACGTCTATAAGTCAAACTTGTTGGTCTTACATTGCCAAATTTTGAGTTTAATTTGAAAGTGTTGAATACCTCCTCCTTCCACTAAATATCACCTGACTGTCTTTCGCCGTTTCGTTTGCAAAAGCTTAACACTTCTTAACCTCAATTTTTACATATGTTAAAGGGGGATGAATTTTATATAACATAACAAAAAATTAGATTGATATGTAGTGGCGTTGTACTTCTTCAAACTTTGCAACGCGCCATGGCGATTCGCGCAATGGGTTGCAAATCCGGCAACTGCATGTATTAAAACAAAATTTATTGAGGTTAGTTGTAAGGTTTTTCTCCGTTTTTCTCTCTAAAACAAAACAAGGTAAACAATAAAAACTGAGGGGAAACTAATTTTGAAGTTTCGAAGAAACAGAAAGACGTATGAGATGTTTTTTTCAAAATTAAAACATGAAAAGGATGATGGTGATTGAAATCATATATTCATGTTGAAATTAGCATAATTTCACCTTGCACGAGCTGCACGCATTTATAAAATACACGTCATCTTGTTATGAAACACGATCTGCTGTCTTTTAGTTTTTCCATGGATGACATGGATGAGATTTTCCTTCGTGTTTTAGACAGTACTTAGTTGTTTTTGTTTTGGAATAACATAGACATTGGCGAGTAGTAGAACGAAAATATAATTCAGTAGTAGAGTCATGGAAGTAATAAAAGAAACCCTTTGAAAGAGATGTTTGTCTACTCCAACTAAACCTCCCGCAAAAAATAGCAACATTTGCCTCTCGGAGACAGTGTACCAGCACAAAGGAACGAGGAAGAAGTGCAAGAAAACAAATCAAGCTGCCATAATTCTGTGACAGCGGCAGTGTCTAATGTACAAACCACATCGCAAGCCCTGACCGAAGTCGAAAACAAGTGACATTTCTAAGGAGAGTCCCAGTCTACTGCATCAGACCTTTTTGCTCGGACGCGCTCGTTTCACCGCCCAACCTTTATCCGCCCTGGTATGCATATAGATGGTCCGGCTACACAGCCGGTGTCGTCACGCAACGCTCCTCCGGACAATCGAACCACATTCCTTTCCCGCGGTTAGCCAATTAGAATTCAGCTCCCTTTTTCTGAAAGGTGTTCGCGCCACCTTTGCGGTACGGTGACTCCTCCAATCACAGCTTTTATCGGTGCCCCATGGGCGCGATCCATTCAACCAAAATTTCCGGAAATTTCGGTCCAAAACTCAATGGATCGGTTCCGTCCAACCGGAAAAGTTTCGAAAAAACAGGTCCACCTTTTGAGGTGCTCCTCTTTTCCCGGTCGGACCGGTCTGACTGTTGGTTGAATGGATCGCGCCCCATGTGTAAATGACAGAGCAATCACGCAAAATGGTCGCGTGAAAACAAGCAATCAACCAAAGTGGCGTTTTGTTATCGAATCCCATTCAAAATTTATGAGATAAGCAGTAGTAGCAAGCAAGTCGAGCAAATATGATAAACAACATGGATGTGCTTATCGATAATTTATATTGCTTTTGCTTGAGAGTTCTTAGTCATCTAGCCTGCGTAGCAAGCGTTTCTGTACGGTTTAGGCGAAAAGAACGAGGGACGAGAGTCAAAGACCGCGAGAAAAGTGGCGCTAGTGGCTCTCGTTTCATTTCTCGCGCGGTCAAAACCGAAAGTCCCCTTCCTCGGTCTTTCTCGGGTCTTTCTTTGCTCCGAAACCAAACGGAAACGCTTGCTACGCAGGCTATTAGTCATCACATGTACAGCAACACAATGAACACATCCGCCACACGCACGTAAAAAGAACCAACCGATCCTGGTAAGAGTCTTGTAGGCATATCAAACCTTTTTTTACTTGGAACTTTGTTAACCGCTTAAAACAAACTTTTCTACAAATTAACCCTTTCGTTGCTTGCAGACACAGAGCCCGTACAAATTCAGCGACGATTGATTGATTTGTCGAAAATTGAGAGGCTTGTTCGCTTCCTATCTCCCTGCGGCTCACGTATTGTCAATTTCCTTATACATGATTGGTTTCCAGTTGTTCGTTAGACCACAAACACAGAAGGAAAAGGAATGTGTAGCCTGCGAAAACATCCGTTTCTCCTCGCTCTTCGCCGCTGGGGACGTTTCAGCGGCGAAGAGCGAGGAGAAACGGATGTTTTCGCAGGCTAAGGAATGTGGAGCACTGCGTAACGATACTAAAAACGGCTGTGTAGCAGACTATATGCAAACGACGCAGACGGCTGCAAAAGCTTTTTAGAAAACGTTTAAAACGTCACTTACATGTAAAAAGGGGAATTTGGACTGTTTCAAACTTCATCTTGCTTTTCCCATCTCGTTCAACTCGTCAAATGTTGAGCTAATTCTACGTGAGTTTTCTGGAGTTGAATTCCAAGTACTGAGGTATCGAAGTTCAGAAAAAGAAAAAGGAAGTCGTGCAGCAAAATTATCCATGTGTTGCTTTAGAATGTTGAAAATGCTTCGGCATAATTTCTAGCCTGTGAACAGGCACTCTGTTTGGGGGAAAACAGCGAGGAAAGGCTACATAATTTCGTATCAGTAATGTTAAACACCGTCACACATTCCTGTCCACTTTCATGACCCACACTTACGAGATATCAATAACTCTTACAAAAAGAGAAGTCCTCTAAGACTATATGAAGTTACTGGTGATGAGTAACAATACAAACGCTATAAAAAGGGTTCTCTACTCTTTTTTTTGCACCAGGCATGGACGTAGGCAGCTTTTCGACTCATTGTAGGCCTGGCTGACTTTCATTTCCACATACCCGCAGTGACCTCACCAACACTTTGAGCTCTTAAGGTGGCTCGATACAGTTTTTCAGGGCCAATACCTCCCAAGTTTGCGCATAAACTACGTCGCCATAAACAAAGTTTTGGAAAAATTGCCACCACAGTTGTATTAGATGAAGATGAGAATTTGTTATGATCAGGGTTGCAATGACGTCGGAGTTGTCATAGCAACGAAATGGCGCTATTACCTATTTTACTTACAGAAGTATTTCTCGGGAACTGTTCTTCCAAAATCATTCACGGGAGCCTTTTCCTCCAATAGCCGCCTCGATGTTCGTGAAGTTTAAGCGAAATCTGTAACAGCGTTATCGAGATATTTTGGGATAAAGATTTTGTGCTTAGAAATACGGTAAAAAATGGATAATCTTGATGTTCGGCTGTTAGCTGTAGAAAATGAAGCGCTTTTGACATGCAATTTCGCCTCATAGTAGTTTAAATCGTTTTAGAAACGTGTGTGAAAGACCGTGGAGATAGCTCCAGCCAATTGTTAGAAAGAAGGATTTGATTAGTATGTATCGAGGTGCTTTTGTTAGCGGTTTTTGAACATTTTGGTCTACTTTAACAAATTAGCGAATAATTTTTGAACCGCTCGATAGATTTTTTAAAAAATTTAAGATTCTTGAGATTACCTTCCTTTTATATGACCTTGTAGTTTTAAGATTATTGATATATTGTAAGGCAGTAAAATAAGGGCTACAATTCGCCAATTGTTTGAGCAGGGTTTGGAACGTTCCTTACAATCCCAGGCCCCCCATTACAGGCCCCGTACAATATCAGGCCCCCATATCAGGCCCCCATTCCAAGCCCTCCCATATCAAGCCCCCATTTCAGGCCCCTTACCATATCAGGCCCCCACATCAGGCCCCCATTCCCATATCAAACCCCCCATCCTAGGCCCACCATTCTAAGCCCCGACGATCAATACGAGGCCCCATGTTAATAATTATAACAAGACTAATAATGAAAATACTAATGATAACGATAATAGTAATAACAATAATCAATAATAATGTTAATACTAAAATTCTTAATGGCAAAGCGAGTGAGAGTGCCAGAAGCCAGAAGTTTATTTAATAAAAATGTTATGCTTGCGCCATGTG